CTTGCGACGAATACTGGTGCTTCGGCCGTTCCAGCCCTAAACCGAAACCCGAACTGCGTGTCCCAAAGCTCTCGGCGCCAGCGCCCTCCAAGCGCGCCACCAGGATCGCGGCGTAGAGCTTGTACCCGATGGGCAAGAGGGGTATCGGCCCGTGGTGTTCGCACTCGGCGACGTCGCCTTTTGAAGATGGCCGCGACGATCGTCTCGTGCCAAACTTGGGGCACTGACGCCTCCATCCAACACCGACTGCAACGCAGAACGGCCCACTCGCATGCTGCCGCGTCTGAGCTGCAGCTTGCCTTTCAAAACTCGGCTGGGATCCGTTTCAGCTCGCGTGCTGCCGCTGGAGAGGGCGCCGCGGCGCCCATTTTCCAGGCTGGCGCCCGCCGGGTTTGGGCCCGAGGTCGTTCTCACTAGACCGCGTGTCACTGAAGGGGGGTCCTGTCCATGCCCGAGAGTGGCGCCGCGAGGCTTCCGGAGCCTGGGCACCCGATCCCAGTCGCCGTTATCCAGCAGCCCGTCGAGCCATTCTGCCCTGTCCACTGCGCCGCCTCTCGATCCCTGCTCGTCCCCTGGTCGGCCTGCCTCGCTCCGCCGGGCCACGAGCTCCACGGTGGCGCTGCTCACCCGTGGATGCTTTCTTCGTCCCGCCTCGCGAGGGAGACACTCTGTCGCAGCAGCGGAAGCATCGACCTTGGTACAGTCGAGGCCGATTAGTAGGTCGACCCTGCCAGAGCAAGGGTGCCCTGGCGTCCTGTGCTTCGCGACCCATGCCTCCTTCATTCCTGTGGCGATGAGGCCCTCGGAAGGGCCTTGTGTCCACTCGCGTGCCCGCTCCAATCCGCCCCGACTCTATCTTGCAGGCTGTCCAATTGGACTGGTGCCGGCACGAGGTGCAGGTCTTGGCCCACCGCGCCCTCCAGGGCCGCCTGGTTCCAGGATCTCTATGCGCATGCGGCGTTGTCTCGGCGTCATCCCAACACTCAGGAGGGGAAAAAACACAAACACAATTAATCGTCGATCCCCAGGAAGACAAAAACCCAGAAAATATAGAAAACTATGGGACATCTTTTTATTTGTGTGTATTTATTTGTGTGTCCCAGTTTCCCTTCAAACACACTAAGACTATGTGTGCGTCGCCCCCCCAGGGGCGACGCGCGCACGGAGAATACAGTGTACGCGTCGTGGCGGGCGCTTCCTGGCCACGCCGCTCGGGAAGCTATCTACTACACGACGGGTATACTGCATGTTCAGGTCGGACGCGCACCTCCAAGGAGAGCAGACAGCACTGGTATGTCTTACAAGTGCCACAGAAATTGGTACGAAGCTAGCGTGATGCCTCGCCTGCCCCGCACGTCCACCCACAAGTTCATGCCCTTTGCGTGGCACAGCAAGAGGTCGATTCGATCGAGCCACGGAACTATTTCGCCACAGCGGGGCCAGCTGGCTGAGATCCCACATTGGAGCACCCTTTCTGGCTCCTTGCGGGATGGTCGAAGAACGTGTTGGTGACGACTACTTCCTCTCTTACGCACATCACCGTCAGCAAGCTTCGATTCGACGGTTGGTTGTGTTGGCCCTGCGGGTCGCCACATATCTAGTCGCCCAAGATCTGTTCCTCTCCCCCGAATCGCCTGTTCAGCCTGCCATCACAGTCTCCAACACCAGGGCATGCCCATGTTTGGGCTTACCGCCAATTCTCGCCTGTCGTCGTAGGGCTGCCCATTTTGAGTGGCCTGGATGCTGGAAGCTGGCACCTCCCCGCCCCTGACACGCATCTTCAGATTCGGTCTTCTCTCGCCCACCTTTTTGAGACAGATCGCGCTCCTGCGAACCCGCTGCACTGCGAGGAAGCCAACTCCGGCCGTCTCATCGGAGCCCGGGGTCCCAGGCACAACGACAAGAAACCCACGCTCTGTCGTATGACATACGAGCTCTTGCTCAGGAGTCCCCTGGATGGCGAGCACGTCGATGCCCAGCATCTCCATGCGAATCTGCAAATCATCCTCCCTCTCTTCCACGAGCCTAGAAGGACATCGACTCCACAAGGTTGCAATCGTCTTCTTCGGAAGTGACTTTCCCCTCGTGCAGTCCTGGCGTTGCCTTGCCGTGCTCTGGTCGCATGGGACATGCACTCCAAGTTCTTTAACCGATAATTCATAGAAGCAGTATTGCCGACAGCGGGTGACATGTCCTGGCCGTAAGTTGCGGAACAATGGTTACCGGGCCCTCGCCCACCTCCCTTGGCCATGCCCTTGTTGTTCATGCCTATCGCCCCCTGCGTGCTGGCTGACATGCGAGCCAGCAGGTGGTTGCACGTGTGCCGCAGCTCTTTGACGGCAGCGCAGTTATGCTGCTCCTTCCACGGAGCCAATTCCCCTTGCCACTCGCAGACAACGCCGTCTGAAGACGCACGGACGGTCATAGCATGCTCCCTGGAGCGTGCTCGGCGAGGCGCAGCTGCTGGAAGGCAACCCCCAAAAGCCACGTGCGGCAACCTGACGTCTGCGGCGGCAGCGGATACCTCCCTGTACCCCTCAAGGTCGCGCGGGTGCCAGAAGCACGTGAAGGCTCCAAGTTGTCGACAGAGCAGAGCCGAGGTGAGCCCGGGAATCTCGAGTTCTGAGGCCACGGCCTTCGGACGATGTTTAGAACGACGGGGGCATATTTTATGCAATCTTCCCCAGTGTCTTCAGCATCGACGTGTTTCCGGTTTGGGATCCGTATTGTTTTCAGTGCTCGCGCCGTTTTCGGCACGGTTGGGTTTTGTGTAGTTGTTTTATGTAGGTCTTTGGCTGTCGTAATTGTGTCGGCTTTGATTGGCCGAAAACCGAACAGTCGAACACGTACAACACAAAATCGCCCTAACATGGGCAAAGGCCGATCGTTTCTAGCATCAGCCCAGCATTCTTCAGATCAGCCAAGTCCACGCGGCGATGCTGCGACGTAAACCCGACGTGACTCCGGCGTAACTCCGACGTGACCCGTCGGGAGCCTGACGCAGTTCCGACTCGGATGCGACGCAAACGTGGGGTCTCGAGCAGGGCTGGACCTAAACGCTTTTGTGCTGGACTTCGGCTCAGCTTTGTTTTTCCCTACCTAGGCTCTGCCTAGAAGGGTTCTTACTCTCTAGCTTAAAGGGGCCAGGCAGTGCTACACGCCCCGGGCGGTTCCCCCAGTCCCCTGGGAGCGGTTCCCCCCAGTCCCTTGGGAGCTTTAGCTTTAGCTTTAGCTTAGCTTTAGCTTAGCTTTAGCTTAGCTTTAGCTTAGCTGTAGCTTAGCTTTAGCTTAGCGTTTCGCTTAGCTTTTCGCTTAGCGTTTAGCTTAGCTTTAGCTTAGCTATCGCTTAGCTTTAGCTTAGCTTGAGCTTAGCTGTAGCTTAGCTTTAGCTTAGCTTTAGCTTAGCTTTAGCTTAGCTTTAGCTTAGCTGTGGCTTAGCGTTAGCTTAGCTTCAGCTTAGCTTTAGCTTAGCTGTAGCTTAGCTTTAGCTTAGCTGTTGCTCAGCTTTAGCTTAGCTTTAGCTTAGCTTTAGCTTAGCTTTGGCTTAGCTTTAGCTTAGCTTTAGCTTAGATTTAGCTTAGCTTTAGCTTAGCTGTGGCTTGGCGTTAGCTTAGCTTCAGCTTAGTTTTAGCTTTAGCGTTAGCTTTAGCTTTAGCTTTAGTTTAGCTTTAGCTTAGCTTTAGCTTAGCTGTAGCTTTAGCTTTAGCTTAGCTTTAGCTTAGCGTTTAGCTTAGCCTTTAGCTTAGCCTTTAGCTTAGCCTTTAGCTTAGCCTTTAGCTTAGCCTTAGCTTAGCTTTTGGTTGGCTTTAGCTTAGCTTTAGCTTAGCTTTAGCTTAGCTTTAGCTTAGCTGTAGCTTAGCTTTAGCTTAGCTTTAGCTTAGCTTTAGCTTAGCTTTAGCTTAGCTGTGGCTTAGCTTTAGCTTAGCTTTACTATTACTACTAATGCTGCTTTCCTAGGGGTTCCAACTCCTAGGTAGGGTCGCACTGGGATAATTCGTGTTGGGAGGGAGGTACAGGAAAAAAGGTAGAGCAAAACGAACAACAACACGAAACCAAAACGACACACGACGTTTAGGTTCAGCCCTGTGGCAGCGCGAGGCCCTTGGAGTTTCCTCCCAACGATCCCCCAGGCGGTGGATCTGGGGGCGTCCTGGGAGCGGCCTTGAAGTGCACGCCACGCCCCTCGAGCTGATGCTGATGCTGATGTTGATGCTGATTGATGATGCTGATGCTGATGCTGATGATGCTGATGCTTATGCAGATGCTTATGCAGATGCTGATGCTGATGATGCTGATGCTGATGCAGATGCTGATGCTGATGATGCTGATGCAGATGCTGATGCTGATGCTGATGCTGATGCTGATGCTGATTGATGATGCTGATGCGGATTGTTCATGATGATTATACTTATGATGATGATGCGGATGAATATGTTGCTGATGATGATGTTGATGATGTTGCTGCTGATGATGATGACGCTGATGCTGATGCTGATGATGATGGTGCTGATGATTATGATGATGATGCTGACGATGATGATGATGGTGATTGTGATGATGCTGATTATGATGATAATGCTGATGGTGACGATGATGATAACGATGATGATGCTGATGACGATGATGATGATGCTGATGATGCTGATGCTGATGATGACGATGATGATGCTGATGATATCGATGCTGATGCTGATGATGCTGCTGATTGTGATGATGACGATGATGATGACGATGATGATGCTGATGATGACGCTGATGATGATGATGATGATGATGATGATGATGATGATGATGATGATGATGATGATGCCGATGATGATTCTGATGATGACGATGATGATGCTGATGATGACGATGCTGATGCTGATGCGGATGCGGATGCTGATGATGCTGATGATGATGATGAGGAGGTGGAGGAGGATTATTATGATGATGCTGATGGTCGCTCCACCTTGCGCGAGCGCGCACGGCTCCACCCTTCGCTCCGCTTCGCTCCGCAGGTGGTGCGGCTCCTGTGCGAGGCGGCCGCGCAGGGCGCCCGCCCCGGCCCCGGCGACCTGCTCCCGCCGCTCCTGGCGGCGGCGCAGGCCGGGCACGCCGCGGTGGTGCGGTGCCTCTGCGTGGCGCGGCCCGCGTCGGACCCGTCGTCGTCGTCCTCGTCGTCGTCGTCGTCGTCGTCGTCGTCGTCGTCGTCGTCGTCGTCGTCGACCGTCGTCGTCGCCGTCGTCGTCGTCGTCGTCGTCGCCGTCGTCGTCGTCGTCGTCGTCGTCGTCGTCGTCGTCGTCGTCGTCGTCGACGGAGGTCCGCACCTACTTCGCGGATCTGCGCTGAGCCCCCCGGGACTCGGGTTTGCATCTGTGTTTTGACGAGCGCGTCCCGGATTCTGCCAGTCCAGCCAGTCTTCGTGGGATGTCTGCAGCGGGAGTTCGCGTCACACTTCATATTGGGTCTCGTCATTTCTAGGATGGCCCCGTCAGGCCAACCCGAGTCCCCCGAACCCGAGTCTTACGTTTCCCCGATTTCAGGACGGCGGCCGCACCAGCGCCGTGGCCGTGGACTCGGCGCTTGCGGACGGGTGCACGCCGCTGATCGCCGCGGCGCGCTTTGGGCACGTGGAGGTCTGCGGCGCGCTGCTCGCGCTGGGAGCCTCCTGCAGCGCCCGGGTCGCCGGGAACGCGGTCATCTCGGAGGGCGCCGACTGCTCCAGGCCTCCCAGACAAGCGCCGCAATAAGACTCGGCCACGCGCGGTAGGGGCAGAGGGAAGGCTTCTCAGAAGCACCCCTGCCCCGGAGGCTCTGGCCTCCTCTATGTACGCAAGGCCGGGGCCTTCTGAGAGGCAGGGCGCTTCTGAGAGGCCTCCCCCCCTCCCCCTATACCCCCCTCTGCGCGCCGCTCGAAGGCGGGTTCGACTGCGCCGGCATGCGCGCGCAAATGGCACGCGTGAGGTCGCGCGTGGACACCCATCGCCTCCACGGGCGTGCCGCGCCTGCGGCCCGCGTAAGCCGTGGCGTGAGGTCGCGCTGTCATCTCGCGTGAGGCCCTTCTCGTCTTTTCGCTCGGATGGGGTCGGAGCAGAGGGGCTCGGAGAATCGCGCCACATCGCCGATGCATTGCCGCTAGAGGCTCGATGTGGAGCTTTCCATACCGACGTCGCCAATGTGTCGCCGATGCATCGCCGATGCATCGCTGAGGCATCAGACCTGCGGCGCGATCTTCCGAGCCCATCTGCTCGGACCCCATTTCGGAGGCCCCATATATAGTATATGTATGCAATGAAAACACATCTCTGTGTGCATTGTTTATATATAACGGTGCATGGCTATATGTACACATACATGCATGCATGCACGCATACGTGCATGCATGCATACATACCTACGTACACACCATACATGCAAACACCCATATACATACACATGCACACATACACTCATACATACATGCATGAATACATACATTCATCCACACACACATCCATCCATCCATCCATCCATCCATCCATCCATCCATCCATCCATCCATCCATCCATCCATCCATCCATACATACATACATACATACATACATACATACATACATACATACATACATACATACATACATACATACTCACCTAATGCAAACTTACATATATACGTACATGCATACATACATGCATGCATGCATACATACGGCCATACATACATACATACATGCATACACACATACATCATGCATCCACACATCCATCCATGCATACAGACATGCATACACACATGCACATACACATACATACATGCGTGCGTGCATGCATGCATGCATGCGTACAGACATACAGACATACAGACATACAGACATACAGACATACAGACATACAGACATGCATGCATCCATACATGCATACATACTAACATTATTTACTCGCTTCGCTCATTCCGCCGGCCCTGAAGCCCTCTTTCGGGCCTCTTGGGGGCCTCTTGGGGACCTTTTGTGAGTCTCTTGGGTCTCCTTGGCAGCGTCTTGTGGGCCCCCAGGGCCTCTTGGGGGGCTCTTGTGGACCTCTTGGGGCGGGAGGGGGGGTAGTCGATTGCGGCTCCCCCCTCGGAGGCCACGATCCTCGTGCGGGGTGTCGAAAAAGTGCCCGGTCCGGGGTCTCCTCCCGGGCTTTGCCTGGGGTACTTTCGGGGACCCCCAGGGGCCGCCCCGCGCGCGCGAACTAGAACTATTGTTAACCAGTTACCGGAGATCTTAGCACGCCTCTGGCTCGTTGGGCCGGCGAATACACACATAGACACACACACACCCACACCACACACCACACACCACACACCACACACCACACACCACACACCACACACCACACAACACACAACACACAACACACAACACACAACACACAACACACAACACACAACACACACAACACACAACACACAGCACACAACACACAACACACAACACACAACACACAACACACAACACACAACACAACACACACCACACACCACACCACACAACACAACACACAACACACAACAAACAATTCACAACACACAACACACAACACACAACACAACACACAACACCCAACACACAACACCCAACACACAACACACAACACACAACACACAACACACAACACACAACACACAACACACAACACACAACACACAACACACAGCACACAACACACAGCACACAGCACACAACACACAACACACAACACACGACACACAACACACACAACACACAACACACAACACACAACACACAACACACACACAACACACATTACACACAACACACACAACACACACAGCACACACAACACACACACACACATCACACACATTACACACAACACACACATCACACACAACACACAACACACAACACACAACACACACAACACACAACACACACAACACACACAACACACACAACACACACAACACTCACAACACACACACACCCATATATATACACACACACACCTGCACCGGTCCTGGGCCCAGGATGGTATGGGTTGCGCACGGCCCGGCCAGGAAGTCCCCGCTGACTTCCGCAGGCCCCCCGAGTAGCCCACGGCCGCCTCAGCAGCCCCTGCTTCCCGCGGTGCACTTGGGGGGGCTCCGCGCCCTAGGGTTGGGGCGGTGAGACCGTCCCAGACTGCTCGTGGGGGCTGTTGATCGGGGGCGGCCAAGAGGGGGGTGATGGGGGGCCATGATGTCTCCCCAGATTTCATGGCGGCTCTTCTTGTTTCAATACGTCCCTGACTCCCATTTGGGCTGCGCACATGCCGCCGGCCATGAATGGCGCCGCCCCCTCTTGGACGCCCCCCTCTGGGACGCCCCCCTCTTGGATGCCCCCGAGTTGAGGCCAGCCGAGACTACCCAGGGGTGCTGTCCGTGCGCGCAGGCATTGCAAGCCCAGGATGGGCCTGGCCTGGACCGGTGCAGGAATACAGTCGGCGCCCTCTGATCATCGGGCGCGACGGCAACGCGCGGGAGGTTGTGTGGCATCAAAACAAGTGAATGGTATCGCTACTCTCCGTTCCTCTCCTGGGGTGCGCTCTGGCCAGGATCTCGACCCAGGCATGCGACGTTTTGATTTTTTGTAGGACGGCGTCCCCAGAAGTCCAGACCCTCTCCCCGGGGCCGCTGTTTCATCCTGACGCGTTTTTGGACGGTCCCGGGGCCCGGCGAGGGCCCCAAGGGGCCGAAGATAGGGAAACACTTGCCGTCATGATTTGCATCTGCAGCGCGGCCTCCTTGTCTTACGACCGCCTTGCACCGTGCTGTCTGGAGACCTTTCGAGGGGGCCAAGACGCCTCAGCGCCTTTCATCCCGACACGTCTACAGGATAATCTATTTATAAGGAGAAAAAATGGGTCCGGACCTCGATGAGAGTCCAGCCGTGGCGACGGGGCCGGCTCGCCGGGCCGAGCGGCGGCATCGGTGCCGACCGTCCTTCTCTGCAGGTTGCGTGGGGCAGCGGCCACGTGGAGCTCGCGCAGCTGCTGGGCGGCGACGTCGCGCGGCAGCTCTTCGTCGCCGCGGAGAGGTCGGGGGTGGACAGGAACCCAGGCATGATCGCGTCGTGAGAAAGTCAGGGCGGGAGGTTTTTGGTCCATTTCGGCCTCGGGGGGCCCTCGCCGGGCCTCGGGACCGTCAAACACCGACTCAGGATGCGAAACGGGCCCCGGGGAATGGGTCGGGACTTCTGGGGACGCCGTCCTGAAAAATCAGGACGCCGCATGTCTGGGACCCCCCCCCCTGGCACGTCGATTCGTGACTTGTGCGTGGTCTGTTCTCGAGAGGGCGCCGAGGCCGTCATTTTCCAGGCTTGCGCCCGCCAGGTTTGGGCCCGAGGGGGGTTCTGTCCATCCCCGAAGAGGGGCCTGCTCGGCTTCGTGCGCCACGCCCTGTCGGCGAGGGCCTGCCCCGACGCGCAGCAGCAGCACGGCAGCGCCACGGCGCTGTACGTGGCGGCGCAGAACGGGCACGCGGATCTCGTGCGGTTCCTCTGCGAGGCTCCGGGGGGGATGCATCGACCCCCAATCGCCCACTGCGGGCGTTTTCGTTGTTTCCCACTGGTGTTCCAGGGTCTCGGGATGCTGTCCAGCAGCTCCGCTTCGCCGAGAGCGTTCCACAGGGGTGCCAGAGTCGACCCGAACGGCCGCCGGAGGAGGCCCGAGCTATGAGCCGAAAAACACCTCAGGGGCAAGGCGAGGAAGGGATGGGCTCAGGGGGGGGAGCGCCCGCAGGCGGTTCTTGGAAGAAACATGCGGAGTGGTGAGAGAATAACCAGACATGGTCAGAAGAGCACGAGAAGAGCACGAGAGGACTGCTCTGGAATATTCCTCCTCCTGGAGATTTTCCCCCTCCTGGGACAGCCTCCCCCCCCTGGCGGGCGTTCCCTCCCGAGGGGGGGATGCATCGACGCCCAATCGCCCATTCGTCGCCGAAAGGGGCTGGGTGGCCCACCCCGCCCAGGACCGCCCAGATTTGCCATCGGGGGCCTGTCTCCGATCTGTCGGCGATTCAGGCTCGATGGTTGCCCTTTGTAATGCTGCTCCAAGGCAAAGGGCCCCCCCCTGGTAATTTTCGTGAGAAGTTCAAAGCAAGTTCCGTTTAAGTTCAAAAACAGTTCCGGGGAAATTCTGGGTTCTTATTTTTATGTTTTATTTATCCTATCGTAAAAATAATGGAATAGTAACGAAATCGTAGACATTCATATGAAACAAGCGATTATAATTGTATGTATGATTGTATTTCTGCTTATTGTATTATTTTAAATTGTTTTTATATGAGAAAACCATTGAATATTCTTTTTGGAATGGAATAGTAACGAAATCATATAATTCATATGAAACAAGCGATCCTAATTGTACTTATTATTGTATTTTTTCCCTGTTGTATCATTTTGTCTTTTTAATAAGACAACCGTTGAATATTCTTTGTTTTTGAATGGAACGGTAACGAAATCATGCCAATGCCAATGCCAATGCCTATGCCTATGCCAATGCCGTCGCCCCTCCAATTGGGACATTCGTCATGCCCAATGCCAATGCCTATGCCTATGCCAATGCCGTCGCCCCTCCAATAGGGACATTCTGCGACATTGACGCCCCCGAGACGACAAAGACGCTACAGGGGCAACTTCTGCGAGAGTAGAGCCCCTGATACGACGAGGGCGCTACAGAGACAGATCTCGCGACACTGCAGCCCCCGAGCAACAAGGGCGCTACAGTGACAAAGTTTGTAGCGCTACAGCTCCTGATACGACGAGGGCGCTGGAGAGGCAGATTTTGTGACACGGCATTGTTTACCTCGCCCATTTCGGCACGCCCTTCGCGCATTTCGTGGCCTCATCGGGAGCTCCACCCAAGGCCCCGGCGGCCGCGTTCGCATAGGTGACCACGCCCATTTTGCCTCACCCCTCGCCCGTTCCGTGGCCCCATATGGGCCTCCACCCAAGGCCCCAGTGGGCGTGCCGCGCCGTGCAGCGCGCCACCCTATACTTCGAGATTTCTTGCAGATACGAGGCGGATTCAGCGAAAACGTCTAGCTTGTCTTCTCGCACCTCGAAGACGCTTCCCGTCATCCGCCAACGCCCGTCCCAGTTGCAGCCTGGAGCCCCAATATATATACATATATATCTATATCTATATCTATATACATATGTGTATGTATGCATGTATGTATGTATATATATATATAGATGTATAGAGGTTAGGTTTTTCCTTAAGAAAAACGGTCCACGCTCCTCGTTCCTCGCAGGCTCTTCCCGTCGACCCTAGTCCCGAGGCCCGAGGCCCATCGACCCTAGACTCGATGCCCGAGACCCCAAACCTTTGGACTGAGATTCGAGGCCCCAGGCCCTCAGACCCTGGACTCGAGACCTTCTAGACCTTAGACCCGATGCCCTAGACCGTAGGCCGTATACCCTAGACCCCAGGCCATAGGACCCTAGGCCCTAGACCCGAGGCGGTAATCCTAGGGACCCTAGACCCTCGACCTCAGACCTCAGACATTGGAGCGCACACTGAAATTTCTGGAAGGCGCCCTGCGAGGCGCCGCCAGGGACCTTGGCGCCCGGGGCGCCCCGGGCAATGGGAGCGCCCCGCGAGAACCCCCCCGGGTACGGCGAATCTGCTGTAGTTGTTTTTTGGACATTCCCGGAAGCGGCATTTTTTTTTTTGTTTGTACATTTTTTGGATGTGTTTTGAATTTGTTTTGAACTTTCTTGGGAACTCCGTTGTTTCTTTTATTCTTGTGTTTTTCTTTTTTGAACGTTTTAACTTTTTCTTGAACTGTTTTTCGAACTTGTGGACTTTTTTTTTATTTTTTTTTTTTAGTTTGATTTTTTTTGATGCTGAATTTGTTTTTGTTTTTTTTGTGGACTTTTTGAACTTTTTCTCAACTTTCATTTTTTAATGTCTTTTTTTATATAACTTTTTGAACTTTTTTTGAACTTTTTTGACCTTTTTGGGGACTTCATTTGGAACAGCGGTGGTAAACTTTACTGGTCCCCGGGGGGTCTCCGGAATTCGCCGCCGAATGTCAAAGCCCCGCCGGCGCGGGCCCTTTCGCGTTTGCCGTTTTGGGAGGCGGGGTCCCGCTGGGGAGTGTGATTCCCGCGGCGTACGGCAGGGCCCCGGCCCTGTGCCGCGCACCTGACATTGGGGCGTGGACTTCGGGCATAGGACATAGGGTCTGGGGCGCGGCGCCTAGGGCCCAGGGGCCAGGGCGGCCAGGGGTCTCAGGTTTGGCTGGGGCCCCAGGACCCCAGGCCTACTACCTCTGGCGCAAGGCATCGATGCCACAGCCAAGGAATTTGGGCTTTGCCCATGGACCCAGGCAATGAGTCCGAAGGCTCCTAGCCGTGGGCCCAGGGGCCCAGGGTCTAGGGTCTGGGGGCTGAGGCGCGGCGTCCAGGGTTCAGCGGCTTGGGGCCTTGGGTGTGGTTTGGGCTTCAGGGACTTGGCCCTCTTGCCTCGGGCTTCAGGCGTCGCGGCTCAGGTTTACGCCGTCGGGCTTGCGCCCGAGGGCCTCGGCGCTAGGCTTTGAGTAGGGCCCAGGGTCTACGGTGTAGGGTTTCGGGCAGAGGGCTGAGAAATGCAGCGCTTTTTACATGGGGCAACGAGGTCAAGGGCTTAGGGCTCTTGGCTTGAAGCGCAAGGCCCGCGACGCAGGTCCTCGGGCCGAGGGTCGGGGGTCTGGGGCCAATGGGCTCGGGGCCTCAGGCCTGTGGCTTAGGCTGAGGATTTGGCGGTCTGGGCCACAGGGCTCAGACCCAGGTTATGCCTATGCCTATGCCAGTGCCGTCGCCCCTCCAATTGGGACATTCGTCATCGGCTGCGCCCCCGCCCGCGGGGGGGGAGGGGGGCGAGGGGGGGGGGCGAGAAAGAGCGCGAGCGCTGCGGAGGCGAGGGGGGCGCAGTAGATGATGCCCGAGCGGAGTAGGACGTCGAGCAGGTCCGGGTGGGTCGGAGGCGGGGGCGAGGGCGAAGCGGGGGAGGGGGGCTGTGGGGGCGGGCATGAGGCCGATGGCTCCCGGGGGGGAATGGGCGCCGAGGAGGGGCGGGGGGGACTATCGGAACGATACCGGGGGAGGTCCAGGGGTAAGAGGAGGGTCATGAGGACCTCCATGCAAATTATTGGCACGATCTTGTGGCTGTCGCGCGTTACGTGGCCACGGGGCGTACGATTTCGCGCGTTGCCCACGTGGTTCGAGCGAGCTCTGCTTCGCATTGCTGTTCGCGCCCTGTGGCGCGAGGGTTTTTTGGGTAAGCTGTGTTCGCTGTCGTCATTCGGGCGGGCTGCCGAGGCGAGCGCGAGTTTTTCGCCATATCGGTAAGTCTGCACATCGCAGCGCAAGCGTGAACCCTGGGTGCGCGTGACAGGTGTCCCGGAAAATGGGCGCCGCGAGGGCGCATCGGTGAGGGGGTCAGAATCGGCGCCCTTGGTTTTCAACTTTTTTGCAATTTGTTTGAACTCTTCGGCAAACTTTATTTGAACTTTGGGCAAAATCAGCAAAAGGCCCACTTGGCCTGAGTTCCAGCGTTACAACCCTAAGTCGGGCGTGTCCTCCTACAGGCGGTTCTTGGAAGAAAAATGCGGAGTGGTGAGAAAATGACCAGACATGGTCAGAAGAGCACGAGAAGAGCACGAGCGGATTGCTCTGGAATCTTCCTCCTCCTGCAGATTTTTCCCCTCCTGGGACAGCCTCCCCCCCCTGGCGTTCCCTCCCGAGGGGGGTGGACCTCAGGGCACCTCCCCGCCGGCAGGGCCCCCCCCCCGGGAGCGGCGCCGTGGGGCTGCAAGCTCCCCTGGCGCGCGGCGGCCCTGGCATTAAGTCGGGCATGTTCCTCTACAGGATGAATCTTCGAACATTGTCAAAACATCGTACGGCAGACGATGTTTGATCATTGTTGATGGTGTTCGAATATTTTTCCCAACCATCCTGTGGTGTTGGTTCCTCGTTTTGAAGCGACAGCGTCCCACGTCTCACTCCTCCTCACCCCTTCTCCCTCTTCCATGCGTTTCACCCACCCAGTACACCGTTTCGTGGCCCCATAGGGAGCTCCACGTACGGCCCAAGGGGGGGACCGCATGCGTCCGCTACGCCCAGTACGGCGTTTCGGGGCCCTATAGGGAGCGCCTCAGTGGGACCGTCCGCATGCGTCCCACACACCCAATTTGGCATCGTCACCCACCCAGTACAACGTTTCGTGGCCCCGTAAGGAGCTCCACCGACGGCCCCAGGGCTACCGCCCGCATGCGTCCCCCCCCACCCAGTATTGCGTTTCATGGCCCCACAGGGAGCTTCGCCGAAGAAGAGATTCACAACTGCGGTACCCACACCTGCATATGGTTGGGCCCTTCGCCAGGAGAATGGCATTTTTTTTTGTTTTTTTTTTGTAGATAATATTTCTCGTCCAACATCCCCCTGTAGGAGGGCATGCCCGAACCCTTGCAGACGAGCCCGGGAAGGCCAGGATAATGACATTTTTTGTTTTTTTTTTTTGTAAATAATATGTTTCGTCCAAAATCCCCCTGTAGGAGGGCATGCCCGAACCCTGGCAGACGAGCCCGGGCCAGGGTCCCGGGGCTGTCCTGCAGCAGATGACGCGGCGCAGCACCACGGCGTCGCCCTCGCCGGCACACCGGCGCGCAGGCTGCCCCGCGTGAGGTCGCGCGTGAGCACCCTCGGCCAGCCCGCGCGTCCGCGGCCCGCGCATAACCCGCCGCGCAGGGTCGCTGCGTCGCCTCGCGGAAGGCCCGCTTTGGATCGTCGCTCGGTCGTCGCTACGTCGCCTCGCGTAAGTCAAGAGAGGAAAAAATACACAGACACAATTAATCCTCGATTCCCCAGAAAATATGGGAAAATATGGGAATTGGGGGGGAAGACAAAAACCCAGAAAATATAGGAAAATATGGGGAATCTTTTTATTTGTGTGTATTTATTTGTGTGTCCTGGGGCCCCTTCAGTAAGGCCCGCTTTGGATCGTCGCTCGCACGGCTTTTTCCGCCTCGAGGGTCCTCGCGTCCTCCGCCCGCGCCCGCGCCCGGTGGGCGAGGCCGTGAACCGTTCCGAGAGCCAGCGCGGCCCCCCACGTCCGTCTGCGAGCCTGGGGGGGGAGCGAGAAGGAGAAGGCCTTCTCAGAAGGCCTGGAGGCGCGGACGGTCACGACGGCGAGAGGGATGAGGGGATCGAGGGAGGGGAAGGAGGGGGGGGACCGAGGAAGGGAAGGGTTGGCTGCGAGCGAGGGGGGGGGAAGTGAGAAGGAGAAGGCCTGTCTCAGAAAGCTCGGAAGTCTCCCGGCCTTTTGAGAAGTCTTCTGAGCCTTCCCCCGAAACACAGACAACACAACTTTTCAGAAGGCTGGATGCCTTCTGAGAAGGCCCGCCGCTTTCTGAGGAGGCCTTCTCCTTCTCAGTTCTCCCCTTCGCTCGCCGCCGACAAGAGCCAGAACCCAGACCCCCGACGTAATGTTTTTTTTGTTTTAAACGTCGACCCCTAGAGGTCTCGATCGCCGAAAATAGGACCTGGGATCCCTGGGACCGAGAGGCCGAAAATCGGAGGAACAACACTCATCATGATGTTTCCCCACCATCTTGTGGTGTTGGGTCTTCGTTTTGAAGAGACGGTCCCCGCGTCTCCTGCTCCCTCCTCCTCCCCCTCCTCCCTCCTCCATGCGTTCCACCCACCTAGTACAGCGTTTCGTGCCCCCATAAGGAGCTCCGCCGAAGGCCCCATTGGGGGGTACCACATGCGTCCGCCACACCCAGTACAGCGTTTCGTGGCCCCATAGGGAGCTCCACGTACGGCCACAGTGGGGGGTACCACATGCGTCCACCACACAAAGTACAGCGCTTCGTGGCCCCATAGGGAGCTCCACCGAAGGCCCCAGTGGGGATGGCCACATGCGTCCGCCACACCCAGTACAACGTCTCGTGGCCCCATAGGGAGCTCCACGTAAGGCGCCAGTGGGGTTGGCCACGTGCGTCCGCCACACCCAGTACAACGTTTCGTGGCCCCATATGGAGCTCCACGTAAGGCCCCAGTGGGGGTGGCCACATGCGTCCGCCACATCCAGTACAGCGTTTCGAGGCCCAATAAGGAGCTCCACCGAAACCCCCAGTGGGACCGTCCGCATGCGTCCCACACACCGAATTTGGCAGTTTCACCCACCCAGTATAGCGTTTCGTGGCCCCATAGGAAGCTCCACCGTAGCCCCCAGTGGGACCGTCCGCATGCGTCCCTGAAACACAATAATTCCCACCAGTACAGCGTTTCGTGGCCCCATAGGGAGCTCCACCGAAGGCCCCAGTGGCACCGTCCGCACGCGTCCCACACACCCCATTTGGCATTTTCACCCACCCAGTATAGCATTTCGTGACCCCATAGGGAGCTTCACCGAAGCCCCCAGTGGCACCGTCCGCACGCGTCCTACACACCCCATTTGGCACTTTCACCCACCCAGTGCAGCGTTTCGTGGCCCCATCCGACGGCCCCAGTGCTACAGCCCGCATGCGTCCCCCCCCCCACCCAGTGCAGCGCTTCGTGGCCCCATATGGTGCTTCACCGAAGAAGATTTTCACAATTGCGGTACCCACAACTGTATATGGTTGGGTCCTTCACCAGGATAATTTCATGACCCGAGGGGGTCAAATCGTAACGGGAGGTTTCTTGCTATTTTCGACCTTTGGGGGCCCTCACCGGGCCCCGGGAGTGCCAAATTATCCCAGTGCGACCCTACCTAGGAGTTGGAGCCCGTAGGAAAGCAGCATTAGTAGTAACAGTAAAGCTAAGCTAAAGCTAAGCTACAGCTAAGCTAAAGTTAAGCTAAAGCTAAGCTAAATCTAAGCTAAAGCTAAGCTAAAGCTAAGCTAAATCTAAGCTAAAGCTAAGCTAAAGCTAAGCTAAAGCTAAGCTAACGCTGAGCTACAGCTGAGCTACAGCTAAGCTGAAGCTAAGCTAAAGCTAAAGCTAAATCTACAACTAAGCTGAAGCTAAGCTAAAGCTAAGCTAAAGCTAAGCTAACGCTAAGCTAACGCTAAGCTGAAGTTAAGCTAAAGCTAAGCCAACGCTAAACTAAAGCTAAGCTAAAGCTAGCTAAAGCTAAGCTAAAGCTAAGTTAAAGCTAAGCTAAAGCTAAACTAAAACTAAGCTAAATCGAAGCTACAACTAAGCTAAATCTAAGCTAAAGCTAAGCTAAAGCTAAGCTAAAGCTAAGCTAAAGCTAAGCTAAAGCTAAGCTAAAGCTAAGCTAAAGCTAAAGCTAAAGCTAAAGCTAAGGCTCCCAGGGGACTGGGGGAACCGCGGGTCGGGGACTGGGGGAACCGCCCGGGGCGCTTTCCACTGCCCGGCCCCTTTAAGCTAGAGAGTAAGAACCCTTCTAGGCAGAGCCTAGGTAGGGAAAACAGTTACAAAACCCGATCTCGGGGAACGGGTTTAGATCTCCGGGGGTCGACGTTGTGCAAAAACCATGACGTCGGGGGTCTGGGAAACCAGACGTCCGGCGGATCAATTTTTTTCGATGCATGGGCCCTGGAGGTCCAGACCATTTCCTAGGGCCAGCTTGTCGTTCGGAGCCGTTTTTTTCGTTCCCGAGACCCGGCGAGGGTCTCCGGAGGCCGAACCTTTGCGTTCGGAGCGTCGGATCTCCGGGAACGCTACCCCTCCGCGAGGCGGGCGCGGAGGTCGACCTCTTGGGGTCGACGTTGCGAACAAAAATCACGACGTCGGGGGTCTGGGAACCCTGAGATCCGACGTTGCAAAAAGTCACAACCTCGCCAAAAATCACGACTGGACCCACAGACCCCATCTTGTTGCGTCATTCTTCGAGCTGGATCGATCCGTGAGGGTCCCGGGGCCCGAAACTTGGCGAAAATGCCCGTTGTGAAAAAAACGCAATGACAAATCGCGCCTGGAATCCTAGATCCAATATTTCTGCGTCATTTTTCGAGGTGGATCAATCTGTGAGGGTCCCAGGGTCCGAGAAGAATCGAAAACGTGTTATGACAAAAATTGCAGCGCCAGGATCTCTGGGAACGCTGCCCCTCCGCGAGGCGATTTGCTCGATGTGGGGCCCGGTTTGCTTCGCGTCGACGTCGCCGATGTGTCGCCGACGTCGACGGTGCATCGCCGATGCATCGTCGATGTATATCGGCGATGCGGCGCGATCCTCCGACCTCGTCTACTCCGACCCCATCTAGGATCGGCGACTTGGATCCGTCGCTTGACGCTAATTAGACGAGGAGGAGGAGGAGGAGGAGGAGGAGGAGGAGGAGGAGGAGGAGGAGGAGGAGGATAGACAGAGACGGCAGATGAGGGGCGTCCGGTGGGGAGGAGGGCCGCGCCGCGGCGCGTGGCGAGCCGCCCTCTGCCTGCAGGAGGCCTCTGCTCTCTCTCCGGGGACGCCGCCCCTCCGCCGAGGCGGGCGCGGAGGTCGACCGCCCGCACGCGGCGCCGGGCGGCCGGGGCGCCGCGCCCCTCTACGCGGCGGCGCAGCAGGTCTGGACGCCCGAACTGGGCACGGGAAGAGTGGGTACTCCAGATTTCGTAATAAAAGGGAGGGGGGCTGGACCCTCCAAGACAAGCCATTTCAGACCTCCCCCCCGTGGGGGAACCCTCCAAAGCGTCGTCCCCAGACCCCCCCAGGCCCTCCAAGATAGCCTGGAAGAGACCCCCCCCCCGAAATGAGACCCCCCTCCCTTTATTACGAAATCTGGCGTACAGTGCCCAACAGCAAAGGTTGACCCAAAGCAACAGCGGCCACCGTTGGGCAGGCGGCCTTCTGTCTCAGATGGGCACAGGCCGCGGCGGCACCGACAGCGAGTCCTGTTCAGAAAGCACAGGCTCCGCTGTTGGGCATTGTACCCATTCTTTCCGTACCCATTTCGGGCGTCCAAAGCAGGGCCACGCCGCGGCCGCCGCCGCGCTGCTGGGGGCGGGGGCCGTCGGGGGCAACGACGGGGGGGGGGGCAGCAGGGCTCGAGGGGGGGGGGAGCCAGACCCCCGCGAGTCCTCGAAGAGTCATGGCGGGAGGTCTCTCACCATTTTCGGCCTCGGGGGGCCCGCACCGGGCCTCGGGACCGTCAAAAAACGACTCAGGATGCAAAACCGGTCCCGGGGAATGGGTCCAGACCTCAGGGGGTCGACGTCATGAACAAATCATGACGTCGGGGGTCTGGGGAAGGGGGGGCAGCAGTGCTCATCTCGATTCCTCCGATCCGATTCGATTCGGGATTCGGTTTAGATGGTTTCCGATTCCGGTTTCGGTCCGATTTCGGATTCCGATTCTGGTTCCGATCTCTTGATCGAGGCCTACTAGTAGGCTGCCGATTTCCGCCGATTCGACTTTTCCGGACTCGGCTGCCGATTTCCGCCGATCCGATTCATTTCGATCGCCGATCCGACTTGTCGATTCGATTCTGCGCTCTCCTGGGATAGGCTTGTGGACGACGATCAATGGAGAGGAAGCATGTTGCCAAATATTTTCCAGATGTCTACACCATGTTTTAAGCATGTCTTAAACATGTAAAGAAACAGGTTTATTTCAAACATGTTTAGAACGTTTCCCGACATTTCAACACATGATTAAATCAATGATAGGATTGTTAGGGTGTCCATTGTCATGGCATCCGCAAGGTATGCCCGGGGGGGGGTGCATCGCCCCCCAAGCGCCCACTGATCGCCGATAGGGGCCCGATAGCCCCAACCTGCCCAGGCAGATTCCGACTCACCATCGGGGGCCTATCGCCGATCTTTCGGCAACGTATCGCCCACTCGAGGTCGATGCTTCCCCCCCTGTGCCAGTCTTCCCCCTATCGTTGCCCGTCAGGCCGATCCCCGCCGGCTGGCCGGCGGGGGGGCCACGCCGCTGCTGGTGGCGTTCGTTCGCAAATCATGGGAGCCGAGTTGACAACAAGAATCTCGACGGGAGGTTTTTCTCCTTGTCTTCGGTCTTCGGGGGCCCTTTTGGGGGCCCTCACCGGGCCTCGGGGCCGTCAAGACACGATTCAGGACGAGAAACTGGTCCCGGGGAAGGGGTTCAGGCCTCTGGGGGTCGACGTCATGAACAAATCATGACGTCCACTCCCCGTCTTCCCTCTGTCAAGCAGTGGCGAAGCGTCCTGGCTCGCCTATAGGCCCACCAAAGAATGTCCTAAGAACCTTTTGTGGTCTGCACGAACTGTTCTTAGAACCTTTCTGGCTGAGACTGTCTTGTTTTGACGCATCGGGTTTATGCTCTAAGAACATTGTGTTTTCTTAGACCATTTCGGGTTTCCCATAACATGTCGTGGTAGGCCTACAGGAATGCCGGGACGGTCGGTCCCTGCTCAATACTATACCCTCGCAGTGCCGTCTGAAGCGTCGATCGGCGTTCGGGAGTGGATGAGGCAGCGCCGATTCAGCGCCGGTTAGCGTCGATGAGCGCCACTTTAGCGTCGATTAGCACCGATGAGCGCCGATTCGCAGGAGCCGGCAAGACGGTAATTGTCTTGGCATCGCTCGGACGTGTGCACTTGTCCCTCGGCGAGGACCACCGAGGAGCAGCCTTGATCAGTTGGCGAAATAGCCACGCACGAAGCCGAAAAAAGGCACAGGAGATGGACGCCCGAGCGATTGCCAGTTGTGGGAGGCTCCCGTGCGTTGCCGCCCGGAGGTGGCGGCCGAGGGGGGGCACGTGGAGGTCACCCGCTGCCTGCACGAGGCGCGCTGGGCACATCGAGGGAGGAAGAACGGCACGAGCACGGACTGTTGGCGCTCCGCGCGGGTTTCGTGGATCCGCGCTGGGTCCTCCTCCTCCTCTTCCTCCTCCTCCTCCTCCTCCTCCTCCTCCTCCTATTCCTCTTCCTCCTCCTCCTCCTATTCCTCTTCCTCCTCCTCCTCCTCCTCCTCCTCCTATTCCTCTTCCTCCTCCTCCTCCTCCTATTCCTCTTCCTCCTCCTCCTCTTCCTCCTCCTCCTCCTCCTTCTCCTCCTCCTCCTCCTCCTCCTCCTCCTCCTCCTCCTCCTCCTCCTCCTCCTCCTCCTCCCCCTCCTCCTCCTGCTTCTCCCCCTCCAATTCCTCCTCCTCCTCCTCCGCCTCCTCGTCCTCCTCCTCGCCCGCACGAGGCTCGCCGAGCAGACTCGGGGGCAACGATGGGGGGGGGGGAGATAGGCATAAGGGGGGGGTAGGCACAGGGGCACGTGGAGGTCACCCGGTGCCTGCACGGGGCTCGACGAGCCTCCGACGGCACAAGCGTTCTCGAAGAAGAAAAAAACTACATAATTTGTTGCTGCTCTTCCTCCTCCTCCTCTTCCTCCTCCTCGTCCTCCTCCTCCTCCTCCTCTTCCTCCTTCTCCTCCTCCTCCTCCTCCTCCTCTTCCTCCTCTTCCTCCTCGTCCTCCTCCTCCTCCTCCTCCTCCTCCTCCTCCTCCTCCTCCCCTCTTCCTCCGAAGGGGAAGGATTGAAGAGTAACGAACGCCATGAACATGTTGCGCTCCGCGCGGATTTCCTGGATCCGCGCTGGGCCCCCCCAGCGGCGCCTCCGGGCGCGCTCCGCGCGCCAGGGAGGGGGGTCCAACGCGGATCCAAGAAAACCGCGCAGAACGCCAACAGTTTTTGTTGATGCCGCTTGCTCTTCTTCGAAACCCGGAGATCATGATAGGTGGGGAAGGCACAGGGGGGGTGCATCGGCCCCGAAGCGCCCATTGATCGCCGATAGGGGCCCGATAGCGCCAACCTGCCCAGGCAGGTGCGAACTCACCATCGGGGGCCTATCGCCGATCTTCCGGCGATGTATCGCCGCTTCCAGGTCGATGTTTCCCTCCCTGGGCCAGTCTCCCCCGTATCTTTGCCCCCCCCCCCCCCCACAAACGACGGCACAAGCGTTCGGGGAGGTGAAAGCTCGAGTCTACGAAATTATGCTCATGCCACGTTTTGGTACTCTGTACCCTACTCGATCCCATCGCTCCCCCCTACCGACACGCAGGATGACTCCAGAGGAGCCCCCGAGGGAACCACACCGTATGCCCCCATCAACACCCATTCGGGGAGGCGAGAAGTCGGCCACGCGCACATGGTGGTGGGGGGAGGGGGGAAGGATTCTTGGAAGCATCCCTGCTTCTTAGAAGGTGCGGGCCTTGTCTGTAGATGTATGTAGAACCGGCCTGGCGCCTTCTCAGAAGCAGCCTCTTTCAAAGAAGCCTTGTCCCCTCCTCCTATCACTCCCTCTGCGCGTCGCCATCGAACTTGAGTTTGCAGACCCTTTTTGACGGGCCCGCCTTGAATTTTGACGGTTCAGCTTTTGTGGGATGTCTGCAGCGGGAGCGCGCGTCAAATTTCAGGCTGGCCCTCATCTTTTTTCTGACTGCCCCGTGAGGCCAACCCGAGTCCCCCGAACCCGAGCCTTACGTCCCACGTCTCCCCGAAGCATTCCTTCTCGGAGTCACGCGCGGATTTCTTGGGTCGGCGCTGGGCCCTCCTTGCGGCGCCTCCGGCGCCGCCCCTGGGGCGCTCCGCGCGCCAGAAATCCGCGCGGACCTCCAAGAAACTACAGTCGGGGCCCTGAAGAAGGAACCCTTTTCGTTGGGGAGGGGCTCCGTGTTCCTTAATTGTTTCGCAGCTTGCCCCAGATTTTCCTTAGGGTTTCGATACGAAATCGAAGTTTAACTCATGGGAAATAGGGGCCTCGTTCCTTCTTTAGGGTTCCTTAGGTCAACGCCTCGACTCTATGTTTGTGCGGTTTTTTGAGGTGGGGGGCGCGGCGTTGACGCTGGAGGCGGCGGACGACGGGGCGACGCCGCTGCTCATGGCCGCCCAGAACGGCCACGAGGCGGGGGCCACTTCTCGGCGGTGGACAGAACCCCCAACAGTGACACGTCGACTAGGGAATTGTCCGTTTTCGGTCCTCGAGATGGCGCCGTGGCCGTTATTTTCCAGGCTTGCGCCCGCCAGGATTGGGCCTCAGGTCGTTTTCACTAGACCACGTTTTACTAAAGGGGGGTCTGTCCATCCCCGAACTTCGATTCTGTCGATTCGAATCGGTTCGATCTCGAGGCTTTCGATTCGACTCGACGCCGAATGCCGACCTCCGCTCGGGCCTCTCTGTGCAGGCCTCGGCTCGGGTCGCCGGGCTTCGATCTCGGTGCCTTCCGCTCCGCTTGCCGATCTCTGCCAGTCTGGCTTACGGTCAACCCGCATGGTGAGGATGGGCACCGTTCCCAGGGCCCCCCCAGCATCCTTCCCTCATCGGTGCATCCTTGGCCGCTCTCGTTGGCCGCGCCCCGATCGAGAAGCTCCGGAGTGGGCGCCCGATGCCCTTGCGTCCTTCCTCGCGCATCCTCGTGATACTTACCGGCCTCGAGCGTATCCCTATCCCTAAGATTGACACGCCAAAAGGCGATGACAATCTTAGGGATTCGCCCTCCAAAAATAAGGGAATCCCTAAGATTGGCATCGTGATGAGGAGGTGCCCAGCATAGGGATAGGGATATGCTCCAGGCTGGTAAGATACGTGCTGACTGCACTTCGAGGGCGGCTTCGATTCTCCGAGCCGAGCTTGGGTCATCCTGCGAGGGGGTAGCGAACTACCTCTGCCAGTGCGGCGCGCACCTGCAGCCCTGCGGGCTGGCCGTGGACGGCGCCCCGCCGCTGTTCCTCGCCGCGCAGAACGGGCACCTCGGGGTGGTCAGGCGCCCGGGCCTCCCCAAGTGGCTTGGCATCGCTCGGACGTGTGTATTTTTCCTTCGGCGAGGGCCATCGAGGAGCATCCTTGATCATTTGGCGAGAAAACCACGCACAAAACCGAAGACAAACATAGGGAATGGACGTCCGAGCGATGGCCAGCTCCAGGGAGAGACGCAAGACTCGAGCTCTGGTGAGAGGAGGAGGAGGAGGAGGAGGACGAGGAGGAGGAGGAGGAGGAGGAGGAGGCGGAGGAGGAGGAGGAGGAGGAAGAAGAAGAAGAAGAAGAAGACGAATCATAATAATAATACTAATAATAATATTGATAATAATAATAATAATAATACTAATAATAATAATAGTAATAAGAAGAATAATAATACTAAGAATAATAATAACAAACATAAGAATAATAATAAGACGAAGACGAATAATAAGAATAATACTAATAATAACAAGAAGAGGAGGAGGAGGAGGAGGAGGAGGAGGAGCGCTCGTCGAGGGGGGCGAGCGTGCGCGCCAGCGGCGGCAGCTTTACACTCGCCGGGCCGCAGCTCGGGCTCGGCGACGCATTCGGGGCTGGCCCGTCCGGGATCTTGACGGCCCAGTTTTCGCGGACGTCTGCATCGAAGAAGGGAAGATGCCATGAGCATCAATTTTTGGCGCTCCGCGCGGAGTTCTTGGATCCGCGCGGAGAACGACCCGAGCCCCAAAACCGCATGGTGACCCCGTATCCCCTTTGACTCACCACGCGGTGTGGTCACCACTAGGGGAACAAAAAGTGGCATAAACATAAAAACTCTGAGGTCCACGCAAATTCTTCGGATCGGCGCTGGGCCCCTCCGGCGGCGCCTCCGGCGCCGCCCCTGGCGCGCTTCGTGCGCCAGGGAGGAGGGTCCAGGCCAGATCCAGGAGATCCGCGCGGAGCGCCAACAGTCTATGTTTATGGCGTTTTGTCTTCTTCTGTTGCAGCGGGAGGTCGCGCCCACCTTCAGACTGGGTCTCGTCATTTTTCTTTCGGCCCCGTCTGGAACTTTCGAGCCTGCCAGTCTCGAGTCTTGCGTCTCCCCGATAGGATAGGGTCCCAGGATCACTCCGCACCGACCATGTATTGTGGATGCGGCTCGATGTGGAGCCCGACCTTCTTCACGCTGGTGGCGCCGATACATCGCCGATGCATCGGCGATGCAGTGGCGATGCGGCGCGATCCTCCGACCCCATCTAGTCAGACCCCATTTAGGAGGCCTCTACAGGTGCCTCTGTCAGCACGGCGTCGATCGGCTGCAGGTCAGAGGAGGAAGAGGTACCGATCCCGTTGTCCCAGATCTCCGACGACGCGATTTTTTGTTCCGATCCCGGACGCTGGCTCCATTTTCGGGCCCTGGGACCATCGAACATTAATTTGGGATGGGAATTTGGGCTGGGGGAGGGGTCGGGACCTCTGGGGCCACGCATTGAGAACATAATATTGTCGGAGGCGTGGGACCCTTGCCTCGTTTTCGCCTTTCTGGGCCTCTGGGTGCCCTCGCCATCACGGCTGGATTCGCCTCGAAATCCTGGCCAGAGCGCACCCCCCAGGAGAGGTCCGGGGAACAGCGGCATCGGCACCTTCTGACTTCCCCAGCAGGCCCGACGCGACGGTACCACGGCACTTCAGATTGCCCTCCACGCGGGGCACGAGAAGGTGGCCAGCTACCTCCGCGAGGAGGAGACCTGGTGCTGACGTGGCCCCTGCGGGCCGGGCTGGCGTGGACGGCGAGCGCCCCCCGCCGCCGCTGCTCGCGCGGCCGCGAGGCTCGGCGCTCGTCTCGGGGGGCGCCTGGCACCTCTGCCTGCGCGGCCTCGACGGGCCGCCTGCCGGGCCTGGCGCCGTGGCGCACCCTTCGAAGCATGCGAAGGCGGCCGGCTACACGCCCGCGAGGAGGAGGAGGCCCCGTGCGGACGCGGCCCCGCGAGCTGGCTCGTGGGCGGCGGCGGCCCCTGCCAGCACGGGCTCGGCTGGCTGCAAGCTGCGCCCGCGAGGAGGAGGCCCCGTGCTGACGCGGCCCTGCGAGCGCTGGCTCGCGGGCGGCGGCGGCCCCGGCCGCCGCTCGCGCTCCCGCGGGCTCCTCGGGAGGGGTCTCTAGCGCCCCTGCCGGCACGGGCTCGGCTGGCGCTGCGAGCTGGGCTCGGCGCCCCCGCCCCCCCTGCAGGTTCGTCTCGGGGAGACGCAGGGCTCTCGGGCCGGACGAAAGGGGGGATATTGGGAAAGGGGGGGTCACGAAATGTGCTGCATGCAGCTGGTTTCGGCCTCACCGAGGGGCCCATTCCTCGATACACAGTCGCCTCCGGCGCTGGGAGGCGCCGGGAGAATCAGCTACGCGAGCTGATTCTCACCCCCCCCTTTTGCTATCCCCCCCCCTTTCGCCCGACCCGAGACTCGAGTGCACCGGAACTCGGGCTCCTCGACGCTTTCTGACGAGCCCGTCCTGGATTTTGACGGTCCAGTTTTCATAGGATGTCTGCACCGGGACCTGGGCCGCGTCAATTTCATGACGGCCCCGGCAGGCCACTTCGAGTCCCCCGAACCCGAGTCTTACGTCATTGCCCGATCTTCGTCCTGCAGGGTCTGACGAAGGTGGCCAGCAGTATATCTGCGACGATCGAAGAGCAGAACGCGGCATAAGCAGAACATTCTGGCGGTCTGCGTGGATTTCTCGGACCGGCGACTGGACCCCACTCCTACTCCTCCCTCCTCCTCCTCGTCCTCGTCCTCCTCCTCCTCCTCGGCCTTCCTCTCTCCTCCTCTCTCCTCCTCTGCCTGCTTCTTCTCCTCCAAGCCTCCGGCCCGCGCCGCCCCTGGCGCGCTCCGCGCGCCGGGGACGAGGGTCCAGCGCCGTTGCAGGAAGCTCTCGCGGGCCTCCGAAAGTTGATGCTTCTGTGCAGTTGTTGTTCTTCCAGATCTGGACCGTGATGGTGATGGCGCTCAAGGTGCGTGGAGCCGCGGCTGCCTGCATGCCCACCGTGTCGTTCGAGGCGTGCCCCGCGAACAGGCTCAGAGTCGGCACGAGAATGAGTAGATCGAAGACTTGGGCTGGGGCGGCGACGGTCGGCACGTGCTCCAGCCCGCAGCTGTGCTGTGGCAGCCAGGGCTGGACCTAAACGCTCAGTTTCTGGACTTCGGCTGTGTTTTGCTTTTCGTTCTGGGGGGGAGGTACAGGAAAACAGGCATTAGGGCAAAACGAAAGACAAAACGACAACCAAACGAACGACAGCGTCTAGGTCCAGCCCTGGTGGCAGCCGCGCCGCCGCCGCGAGGGCAGCCGGGATCATGCGGCGGCTGCGCGGGCGGTGCGGGCGGAGACGCGCGGGGCAGCCGTGGGGGCGGCGGACGGGGGCCCAGTGGCCGGCCCCGTCCGGAAGCTCGGGCGTTCCGTGCCAGTGCTGGTCGGGGGCCGTGGTCCCAGAGATCCAACGTACTGAAACAATCAAGACTGCCGTTCTTCAGAGTTTCCGGCCTCTGGGGGCCCTCACCGGGCCCTGGGGCCCTTCAAAAACGACTCAGGGTGGGCAACCGGTCCTGGGGAATGGGCCGAGCCCCCCGGGGACCCCGTGTTGGAAAAATCACGACATCGGATCTCTGGGGCCCAAGTGAGGGAATAAAAAGTGACAGAAACATTAAAATTCGGAGGTCCGCGCGGATTTCTCGGATCGGCGCTGGACACCCCTCCCTGGCGCGCGGAGCACGCCGGGGGCGGCGCCGGAGGCGCCGCTGGGGGGGCCCAGCGCCGATCCGAAGAATTTGCGTGGACCTCAGAGTTTTTATGTTTATGCCACTTTTTGTTCCCCTAGTGGTGACCACACCGCGTGGTGAGTCAAAGGGGATACGGGGTCACCATGCGGTTTTGGGGCTCGGGTCGTTCTCCGAGCGGTGATCCTCAGGACGTGTGGTAGCCCAGGAGGTGTCAGACCTAAAAATCCAGACCCCCGACGTCATGCTTTGTTCATAACGTCGAGCCTCAGCGGTCTCGACCCAAGCATCTGCCAGCAAATGTGCGACACGCCGGCGTCCACCCAAGATGGCCGACTGTGCCTGGAAGACCCCGAC